AGACCTTCACAACCAGAATATCCCTTTCAAGAGATGTCCACACCTCGACTGCCATCAGAACACACACAAGGGTCATCCAGATCTTCAGATTCACCAGATCCTTCACGAGGGTCTTCCACATCTTCAGCGCAACCAAAGGCTTCACAAGAGTCATCCACACCTTCACGCCCACAAAAAACCTCACAAGAGTCTTCTACATCTTCAGGACCACCCCCAGAAACATCACATGGGTCATCCAGACCATCACAACCAGAATATCCCTTTCAAGAGATGTCGACACCTCGATTGCCATCAGAACACACACAAGGGTCATCCAGATCTTCAGATTCACCATATCCTTCACAATGGTCTTCCACATCTTCAGCACAACCAAAGGCTTCACAAGAGTCATCCACACCTTCACGCCCACAAAAAACCTTACAAGAGTCTTTTACATCTTCAGGACCACCACCAGAAACATCACATGGGTCATCTAGACCTTCACAACCAGAATATCCCTTTCAAGAGATGTCCACACCTCGACTGCCATCAGAACACACACAAGGGTCATCCAGATCTTCAGATTCACCAGATCCTTCACGAGGGTCTTCAACATCTTCAGCGCAACCAAAGGCTTCACAAGAGTCATCCACACCTTCACGCCCACAAAAAACCTCACAAGAGTCTTCTACATCTTCAGGACCAACACCAGAAACATCACATGGGTCATCCAGAACTTCACAACCAGAATATCCCTTTCAAGAGATGTCCACACCTCGACTGCCATCAGAACACACACAAGGGTCATCCAGATCTTCAGATTCACCAGATCCTTCACGAGGGTCTTCCACATCTTCAGCGCAACCAAAAGCTTCACAAGAGTCATCCACACCTTCACGCCCACAAAAAACCTCACTAGAGTCTTCTACGTCTTCAGGACCACCACCAGAAACATCACATGGGTCGTCTAGACCTTCACAACCAGAATATCCCTTTCAAGAGATGTCCACACGTCGACTGCCATCAGAACACAGACAAGGGTCATCCAGATCTTCAGATTCACCAGATCCTTCACAATGGTCTTCCACATCTTCAGCACAACCAGAGGCTTCACAAGAGTCATCCACACCTTCACGCCCACAAAAAACCTCACAAGAGTCTTCTACATCTTCAGGACAACCACCAGAAACATCACATAGATCATCCAGACCTTCACAACCAGGATATCCCTTTCAAGAGATGTCCACACCTCGACTGCCATCAGAACACACACAAGGGTCATCCAGATCTTCAGATTCACCAGATAATTCACGAGGGTCTTCCACATCTTCAGCGCAACCAAAGGCTTCACAAGAGTCATCAACACCTTCACGCCCACAAAAAACCTCACAAGAGTCTTCTACATCTTCAGGACCAACACCAGAAACATCACATGGGTCATCCAGAACTTCACAACCAGAATATCCCTTTCAAGAGATGTCCACACCTCGACTGCCATCAGAACACACACAAGGGTCATCCAGATCTTCAGATTCACCAGATCCTTCACAATGGTCTTCCACATCTTCAGCACAACCAAAAGTTTCACAAGAGTCATCCACACCTTCACGCCCACAAAAAACCTCACAAGAGTCTTCTACATCTTCAGGACCACCACCAGAAACATCACATGGGTCATTCAGACCTTCACAACCAGAATATCCCTTTCAAGAGATGTCCACCCCTCGACTGCCATCAGAACACATACACGGATCGTCCAGATCTTCAGATTCACCAGATCCTTCACGAGGGTCTTCCACATCTTCAGCGCAACCAAAGGCTTCACAAGTCTCATCCACACCTTCACGCCCACAAAAAACCTCACAAGAGTCTTCTACATCTTCAGGACCACCACCAGAAACATCACATGGGTCATTCAGACCTTCACAACCAGAATATCCCTTTCAAGAGATGTCCACCCCTCGACTGCCATCAGAACACATACACGGATCGTCCAGATCTTCAGATTCACCAGATCCTTCACGAGGGTCTTCCACATCTTCAGCGCAACCAAAGGCTTCACAAGTCTCATCCACACCTTCACGCCCACAAAAAACCTCACAAGAGTCTTCTACATCTTCAGGACCACCACCAGAAACATCACATGGGTCATCCAGACCTTCGCAACCAGAATATCCCCTTCAAGAGATGTCCACACCTCGATTGCCATCAGAGCACACACAAGGGTCATCCAGATCTTCAGATACACCAGATCCTTCACAAATACAAGGATCGTCCAGATCTTCAGATTCACCAGATCCTTCACAATGGTCTTCAACATCTTCAGCACAGCCAAAGGCTTCACAAGAGTCATCCACACCTTCACGCCCACAAAAAACCTCACAAGAGTCTTCTACATCTTCACTACCACCAACAGAAACATCACATAGGTCATCCAGACCTTCGCAACCAGAATATCCCTTTCAAGAGATGTCCACACCTCGACTGCCATCAGAACACATACAAGGATCGTCCAGATCTTCAGATTCACCAGATCCTTCACGAGGGTCTTCCACATCTTCAGCGCAACCAAAGGCTTCACAAGAGTCATCCACACCTTCACGCCCACAAAAAACCTCAAAAGAGTCTTCTACATCATCAGGACAACCACCAGAAACATCACATGGGTCATTCAGACCTTCACAACCAGAATATCCGTTTCAGGAGATGTCCACACCTCGACTGCCATCAGAACACACACAAGGGTCATCCAGATCTTCAGATTCACCAGATCCTTCACAATGGTCTTCCACATCTTCAGCGCAACCAAAGGCTTCACAAGAGTTATTCACACCTTCACGCCCACAAAAAACCTCACAAGAGTCTTCTACATCTTCAGGACCAACACCAGAAACATCACATGGGTCATCCAAACCTTCACAACCAGAATATCCCTTTCAAGAGATGTCCACACCTCGACTGCCATCAGAACACACACAAGGGTCATCCAGATCTTCAGATTCACCAGATCCTTCACAAGGGTCTTGCACATCTTCAGCGCAACCAAAGGCTTCACAAGAGTCATGCACACCTTCACGCCCACAAAAAACCTCACAAGAGTCTTCTACATCTTCAGGACCAACACCAGAAACATCACATGGGTCATCCAAACCTTCACAACCAGAATATCCCTTTCAAGAGATGTCCACACCTCGACTGCCATCAGAACACACACAAGGGTCATCCAGATCTTCAGATTCACCAGATCCTTCACGAGGATCTTCCACATCTTCAGAAGGTGTGTAAAGATTCCGGTATGATGGGCTGGAACTTGAGGTTGATTTTGATCTTCATAGGAGTAGAGAAGATGGATTTGCACCTCAACGGATGAAGCCGCATTCGGTAGAGAAAATCTATTTTAGCTGAATCTCAAATTGACGTTATCTGACAGTCATAGAAGGTCAGGTCAGGATCTGGAATCTTTGAAATTGAATTAGTGAACTACTGAAACTTTACATGTCAGAAATTCAGTATACTTGAGTTACTGGACTACTGTAAATACCCTCATGACAAATGAGTCATTCTGATTTATTTGTTGTTCTTGCACTTTCAGATAGTAGAAGAAATCCTACCACCGTATCAGACTCCAGAACAACATTTCCACAAGCCACCATGGGAGCTAAGCGAGTTTCCAACCAACCCAGTTGGACTTCAGCATCCCAAGCAGAACCTTCTCCCACAGGTGACAACAGACCTTCACAACCAGAATATCCCTTTCAAGAGTTGTCCACACCTCTACTGCCATCAGAACACACACAAGGGTCATCCAGATCTTCAGATTCACCAGATCCTTCACGAAGGTCTTCCACATCTTCAGAGGAACCAAAGGCTTCACAAGAGTCATCCACACCTTCACGCCCACATAAAACCTCACAAGAGTCTTCTCCATCTTCAGAACCACCACCAAAAACATCACATGGGTCATCCAGACCTTCACAACCAGAATATCCCTTTTTAGATTTGTCCACACCTCGACTGCCATCAGACCACACACAAGGGTCATCCAGATCTTCAGATTCACCAGATGCTTCACAAGGGTCTTGCACGTCTTCAGTGCAATCAAAGGCTTCACAAGAGTCATGCACACCTTCACGCCCACAAAAAAACTCACAAGAGTCTTCTACATCTTCAGGACCACCACCAGAAACATCACATGGGTCATCCAGACCTTCACAACCAGAATATCCCTTTCTAGATTTGTCCACACCTCGACTGCCATCAGAACACACCCAAGGGTCATCCAGATCTTCAGATTCACCAGATCCTTCACAAAGACCTTCCACTTTTTCAGCGCCACCAAATGCTTCACAAGAGTCATCCACAAATTCAGCACCCCAAAAACCAACACAAGATTCCGCCACAAACACAGAAAGCTCCGAGGCGCCTCACACACCCGATTCAACGTGGTCTTTCCCACCATCAGTCCCAACTACTTCAGTGGTTACAACAGCCCAACCTTTCTCTCTACCAGACCGTCAGAATTACTCCACTGGTGTTTCTCCAGTGGGATCAGACCTTGACGTTACAATGACCGTTAACCCCTCACCCACAGATGCGTTGCAGGGTGATTTTAAAGACAAGGTTACACCAACAGAATCCTCCATCGCCCCAGTAACAGAAACCCCAAAATCCCCTAGTGCTAAAGCACCTGAATCCACCCTAAAACCTAAACCAAACACTTCCGGTCCACCAATGACTGCAGCCCCTGAGGATAAACCTGCTCTCAAACCTGCGATTAAGCCAGTGGATGCGGTGCTGACTGTGGATAGCTCCAGACACTACCAACCAGGTAAATCAACACTTGCTTTGAATATCAATACAGCATTCTAAGAAAAATAAATAGAAAAGGAAGTCTGGGAATAGTAATGAATGACAAGTTGGGTAGTTGAGGTTCAAAGTTTTTCTTTTTGTCTCCCAAAGGAGAAAATTGTTTTGGAGCAAGGGACTGCTGCAAAGATGAACACTGCACACTACATGAATGCAATACATCTTGTCATCCCCAGCCATCCATTTCTCAACCCATTTTGTTATTTATAGTGATTAATTTAATTTAATTTAATTTAATTTAAATGAGCGGCCCGGTAGTCGAGTGGTTAGCACGTTGACTTCACAGTGCAGAGGTACCGGGTTCGATTCCAGCTCCGGCCTTCCTGTGTGGAGTTTGCATGTTCTCCCCGTGCTTGCGTGGGTTTTCTCCAGGTCCTCCGGTTTCCTCCCACATTCCAAAAACCTGCATGGCAGGCTGATTGAACACTCCAAATTGTCCTAGGTGTGAATGTGAGCGCAAATGGTTGTTTGTTTCTGTGTGCCCTGCGATTGGCTGGGAACCGGTTCAGGGTGTCCCCCGCCTACTGCCCGAAGACAGCTGGGATTGGCTCCAGCACCCCCCGTCACCCTGGTGAGGATAAAGCGGTTCGGAAAATGGATGGATGGATGGATAATTTAATTGAAAGAGTTTTTCTGTGAGATATTTGAATCGTAATAACTTGTATTTCAGCCAGATTTTAATAGTTCATACTCACACTTCACTGCGTGCAGGGTGTATGATAAGATATGGGTTGTTGTTTTTGGTTTAAATTAAATTTTTGGTTTAAATTAAATTTTTGGTTTAATTTTCCACACAGTGATGTTTTTATTAGCGATGTCTTTATTTCCAGATGACAATGACACAAACTTGTGCAGTGGGCGTCCTCCCAGTGCATTCACCACATTGAGGAACGGCACAATAGCAGTCTTCAGAGGTTGGTGCCATCAATTATTTTAATGAGAAAAAGTACAACAAAAAGTTCAGATGTTAAGTCACTGTGGTTCCGAAAGTATATTTTTTTATTCTGACTTTGGAACACTTTCTCACTCTATGACATTAACATGATTGCATCACCGCTGTTTCGGAGTCAAGCAAATTTTGTTGCTCAAGAAGGCAAAACTTTCAGAAAGTATTGTTACAATATTAGGCGGGAAACTAAGCCTTTATAAAAGAGTGCCTTTTAGCTGAATAGTGGTCAAAGATTGTAAGAAGTGGTGTTAAATACCACTATTCACGACAAATTCACCATTTTCTAATGATTCATATTGACAATTTTGACATTTACAATACTCTTGCAAAACAAAATTCTCATCTCAAAACAGGTTAATCTGTGCTCAAAACTGAGCTATGTGATCTAAACGTAGCCCGGGTCAATCAAAATGAAAAACACTTCTAAGTAGTTGGTAAACATGAAATAAAAAAATAGAAAACACAATACTCAGCATGCAGCACAGTAGCTCTGATTTTATCAGTTATTACTATTCTGTGTTCGCTGATCACCTTGACCACCTTATCCACCTCTTTCATGAACTCCTCCTCTCAGATTTCTCTCCAATTTAGTGATTCTCAAACCAGTGCTCACTGAACTGGCTGAAATATGATCCTTCATATCATTAGCCACAAGTGTGATCAATTTTGAGATGTTGCGTTCAACCGATGACACTTGTGCTTCAATTGTGTTTGACTTTTGCTACCTGTGCTCACTATTATGCAAAACAGGTGCACCACAATGAAAATGTGCTGGCAAGTTGTGACTGAAAAGTGCTGATGGTTTTGTCAAGAGTGACTGTTTAGTGTTTTAGCAATTGAGAAAAACAAAAAATGAGTTAAGACAATGTATGTCCCTGAAAATGTACATTTTTTCTTCAGGGTTCTCATATGCAGGTGGACAAGTCTAAATATGTGTTTGTATTCTGGTCCACAGGTCACCTCTTCTGGTTTTTGGATAGAAACAGGGTGCCAGGTCCGGCCCATGACATCACACAAATGTGGGGGGTCCCGTCACCCATCGACACTGTGTTCACCCGTTGCAATTGTCAGGGGAAAACATACATCTTCAAGGTAATTTTTGTCACTTTTCTCTCTCTCTCTCTCTATATATACAGTATATATATATATATGTGAGCATGCATTTTAGGCATGTCCTGAAATTTCACCTGAAAGCCAAATGCTTTATGTGTGCGTCTCATGCGGTTTGCAGGGAAACCAGTACTGGAGATTTGACAACAATCATTTGGACCCAGGCTATCCGAAGGTTGTTGAGTCGGGCTTTGATGGTCTTCAAGGTCACATCACAGCTGCCCTGTCTGTGCCTCAGTACCGCAGGAGGAGGGAATCTGTCTATTTCTTCAAGAGAGGTGACCATGCATGTCAAATGTTACAGAGATATTGCATTTTGACATGTTAATCAACTGTCTGGTGATTCTTCCAGGTGGATTGGTGCAGAAATATTCATATCAGTTTGGCACCAGCCCATCATGTAGCAAGAAAGCCCATTTTGCTATTTACACTGTCCGTAACCGAGTGGCGCGACAAGCAGGTAGGAAAAACACGACTACATCATGCTGACTGTGGTGGTGGTTGGAGGGGTTGTCACCCCCAACAATCTACCTTGTGGTAGCTATGTTTTAATGGATTTTGTTTGCTTCTACTATTTAACATGGAGCCTTTTAAAGGATGTTGTCAGGACTGTGTTGCTGGTTTTGGAAAGCATTAAATTCATATCTTTTGACAGCGTCAGTCAAATCTGAGCATTATTTATTACCTTTGTAAAGGAAGCATTTGTCTTGCATTAGAATCGAGTGCAAGACAAATGCTAGATACACCTTCATGATCTTATGATTAGATCATGAAGGTGTACCTCACGTTGTGGCCAGGGAGTTTCAGGCTGTTTTGAGTGAAAATGTGTGGTAAATGTCACAGTGGGTGTGAGCAGCGCAAGAACACTCGGTGAACTCACACATGTGATTTTTGAGTTTCAACACAGCACTCTGGAAAATGAGTCATGCTTCAACTGAGAGGGACAAATCAGATCCTGTGAGATTTAACACATGGAAAAGGGCCTCAGCGCCATTTACGAGAAACCTCAGGAGTGAAATGTTAACCAATTGTTTTTGACAAAGCCGATTTTGTTTCCAGTGTCACTGCTGGGACCCACAATTAACATCCGGAGGAGCTGGCGAGGATTCCCCACCATCATCACTTCAGCTGTGTCTGTCCCCAGTTACAGGGAACCAGAGGGCTACAGATACTATGTCTTCTCTCGATGTAAGTCACAGTCGAGCCTCATCTTAAATTACATGTTTTAAACTCATTGATGAGGAATCTAAAAAACGGACCAAATGTGTGCCAGACACAGTGGTGTATTTCTATCATAAAAAAACCTTTATTGCAGTTCTAACTGCAGTCAAAGTTCCACTTAAAAGCATAAGAATGTGATGTATTTTTTTCCCCACATTCCCAAAATATGCATGTAAATGGAAGCCTAAAAACTGGTCGAAGGTGATATGTGACCACGAATGTTTGTTATGTGCCCTGCAATTGGCTGGTGCTTCAGCTGCAATAGGCCCCAGCTCTCGATGACTGATGGCTGTATTTTATACCAAAGACACTTGTCACAGGAATTTCCCAAATAACCGATGGAAGCAAAAACAAGTTCTCATGTTTGTGTCTTGCAGCTAAATCCTACAATATCAGGTTGGACGGTGAGCGGCCCGTTGTCACTTCCCCGATAGAAAACCCATCAGCTCAGAACAACAACTTCATCAATTGCCCCAAAACACTCTGATGACCACAGACTGCTTCATGAAGCCTTCGCGTTGGACTTGTTCAACACTTTTAATTACATTTTTCAGAAAGCACATAACCACCTTAGACTCATCAAAATTATAAAAGCAAAAAACTTTCGAACAAGTGATCAAGTTGAAGAAGAGTGACTTGTTGAGACTGTCACGATGTCCATGTAGGGAGCTTCATCTGGCGATGCGTCTGCCGTGAACTCCTCTTGAAGGAAATGCTTGACCTGATGGAATACACAATGAAGGTTTCAACATTATATCCAGCGGCTGAATAAACTGTATATCTGAAATCTACAAATGAAAGCACACAATTTTAAAAGCATGCAAAAAATATTCACGTTATGATGTATACACTCTGTAACTATATTTAAAATGCAATAAAGATTGTCTGGTTGGAAGCAAGTTTGTTTCCTTACAGCTTTGAAAGTGCAGCACTGCAGGTCTATTTATTTACAAGTGTATCTCAAATATCGGAATGAAAAACTTCAGAGTTTTCGTTTTTCTACATCATTTTGATTTACCCTTTAGAAATGTGAATATTAGACAAATAAACCAAATTATTCTTTTGTAAAAATCAGGTCGGAAATGGTCTTCTGAAAACTCATTGCCAATGTGAATTTATACAAGTTTCCCGTTTTTTTAATTGAACTGCTGAAATAAATTAGCACTTATATACGTGGTTTTTTTTTTCCTATGCTTTTCAAACATCCATTTACGAAGCACGATATCTGCAGGCTCAATTCAAAATCTAATTTTCTGCACTGTTACTTTTAATACTATTTGAGCACTAGAAGTGGGCAACGTGTAGTAACGACATCATGTTGATGGGTATTTGGCTCTACGGGATGGGAAAAGCTAAAATGTTACCTCCTCTCTTGGCGCGCCCACCACGGCTCCCTGGCCAACGCTGCAGCTGTCTGCTGGGCGCAGCCCTGGTTGGAGCGCTGCTTGTATCTGCCATGCATCATTAAAAAGGGCAGTTGGAGTTACATGTCATAGGAATATCAGGTGATGACACTCGGTGACCAGGTGTACCTGCAGAGCTGGATGAAGGCTCCTGGCTGGTGGAAGGTAAGCTGGCTGTGTCGGAAGGCTGACTGGGCTCAACCAAATCATCTTGAGATACCACAGCATCCACTGAACTCTCAGCACTGGGCCTGGAACTAAATGTGAAACATACTTTTAGCTTAACATTTTAGTGTAAGACAATTTTATCATCATCAACAGTTTCCACAAATATTTCAGCAAATGTATTGGACCGGACATTATTAAAATGGCCGTATCATGCAAAATCAACTTTTTTTGAGCTTTTAGCCATGTTAAAATACAAATTCCTCTCCAAAAACACTCCCAAGTGTTATGTTCCTCGGTTCGGCCAGCATTCTTGCTCATTCCTGCTTTTTAAACAGAGTATGCGCCCAATCCAAGGAAATGACCGGGTCCTCAATCAAAAACAGCCTGAGGAACCACCCCCACTTACTCAAGTAGCCAGCGGGGACACTCAACAAGAGCATTCAGGAAAGACCTTTAACATATTGCAAATCACATAAGCTGTTTTATAAACATGTGCTTAAAGGCCTTTGAACAGTCAAGAGCTGGAGTTTTAATCTAAAAAAAAAATTGACGCCAATCTTTTTTTCTACATTTGGCCTCAAATACAGGTTATCAGCCTACTTGAATACTAAAAACTGGTAGTGGTGCTGAAAACCCCCCAAAACATATCGGCCTATAACTCATTAAAAGCAGCAATTTTGTATTGAAGTAAAAACCGCTGCCACATACAATTGAATAGTTATCAAATGAAATGTAATTTATCTGGCTGCTGACCTCTAGTTGATATAAAACAATCAATCCCCAACTAAGAAGTCGGTCAGCTCAAGCCAGGAGCAAGTAAATCTGTTTATTGTCTCAAGTACTTTTCAAGCAGTTTCGAGAATTGTATTATATTGTATAACATTCAAGTAAACTTTGAAAATGCAACAATGAAGCATTTAAGAATTTCAAGCACCAGTTGAGATGTTTGACCTTGCTCTCATTGACACTGCCAAATAGCAGCATGGTCGGTGTCTTACTTATCAGGGTCTGACTCCAGGAAGACGTCGTCTCTTTCCTCGCTTGTACTGGCTGTGCCTGGCGCAAGTATGCCGGGAGTGGACGTGCTCACCATGGGAACCGACTGAGAGGCCTGCTCTGTGGCATCTGATAGAATCACCTCAGAGAAGACTACAAGTTGGAGAACGGTCAGTGCATATGTACTGATTCTTTGAGCGTGTGCTCCACGTTCAGTATTGCAATGAGGACTCAGTGATACCTGGGGCCGCCACTTGCAATGGTGTAGTGGGAACACTACGTCCACCAGATTCCTCTTCATGAGATATGAGGAACAAGGGGCTGTCAAACATCCCAAGACCTGAAAATGGTCCCAATCACAATGACTGTTTTGCTATTTTAAGTGCGCTCAGGGTAATTCCATAAACGGGTGATGGGGGCGCACCTCCTTGGGCTGCAAGTTGGCCGAGATCTGAACTGGTCTGTGGGACTTCGTCTGATTGGCCAAAACGGAAGGTCCTTGCGGCCACTTGGGGAGAACTGCTGAAGGAAACACTTTTGAGTTACCAAGGAATTTATTGGCAGAAGCACGAAGAGACTAAAGTTCAATGAACACACAGATGGCTGTCATAATAAAAGATATGATTTCATTTTGAACTCAAAAGAACAAAAAAAAAAAAAAAAAAAAAATCAGCTAAAGCAACGTGTGTCTTTCGTGCATGGTGTACTCAACATGAACAACACAGTACACCATATACTGAAAAACATCACCACCAACAAAAATGACTCTCCCCCCACAAACCACGTCTGTTGTACTAAGACTAACCTGTAGGACGCTGCATTGTGCCAAAGGACATTCAGACTGACATCAAGTACAAAAAGTAGTACTCAAGTAGTAGAAAAAATATAATAGTAAAAATATACCTCTTTATTGATCTATTTCAAATTTTATGACATTTTCAACACACTGATATGTCCATGTTGGGTCCAACGAGATGTAACGTGTGCAACAATGCCTACAGGTGTGTCCAAGTGAAATTTAAGACTTTTAAAGACCTATTTTAGACTTTTTAGACGTATTATTTCGAAATTCAATGCCTTTAAGACAAGGACGTCAAACATAATTTTTGTCGCGGGCCAGATTTTAGTTAGTTTCCCTTCGAGTTTAGTTTAGTTAGAGGGCCATTATGACTGAAACCATATAATGAAGTCAAGAAAAACAGTTTATTCACCTATTTTTTAAATTACTCTAATGAGAAGTTTGGTAACAAGAAAATGCATACAGTGTTACTTTTATTTATGACAAACGAGAATTTGAAATTTTGGTTCCGATTTTAGCAAGCATCATTAAAGTTGACATCTTTGATTTGCTTTCGGGGGCCACTTAAAATGATGTGGCGGTTCCAGATCAGGCCCCTCAGGCCTTGAGTGTGACACCTGTGCTTTAAAACATTTTAAGACCTTGCGGGAATTTGCAAGGAGTCATCCAGAAAGAGCAAAGTTTTGTCGAACCCCTGTGTCCACAAGGACAGGTGCGTGCAGTGAACATTTCCAGTACAAGGAGTGATTTACAGTTGGAGATGAGACATCACACAGATGACATTAAAAACCATCGCCGTATTTTTAGTAAGCAAGAAGTGGGAGAGGATCTTAACTGTCTGTGATGTACTAATCCACATTAAAGGTTGAGTAGAATAAAGTATTACTTTTCAATTTCTGAAAGATTTACCGTTCCTAGAATTAAATGGTGTGCACGTGTGAGACTTACTGGACAGCCTGGTCAAAACTATCAGAGCGGTGTGGCACTACCAATGTCGGAGCGCTAGGTACCATCCGGTCCTCTTCATCAATGAGGTGCTGCTGCAAAGACAACCAGGTAGTTACATTATGTCACGTTATAAGCTGTGTGCACAACTGGCTCTGACACATGAATAAAATATCGCAAACGTGACTTACAGCACTGCTGGGGACACCAGAGAGCTGAGGGACCCTGCCCACCGACTGGCGACGAGCAGGGATGCGCTGGGACATCTAATACAAACACAATGGTATATTTTTCCACTTGCACTGAACGATGAAATAAAATGTGCTTTCTTGGGGGTTCAAAAACGATGTGATGTCTTTAATCACGAGCAGTCGAAGAAAAATCACATCTGATCTAGAGTGCATATTATCTTGTATTATGGCATAAAAACCTGGGTTTCATAATATTAAAGGAAGAGGATATTTTAAAAAAGCATTGGTGATACATTATCTGTCGGTAGACTTTCTCACATCTTCTGTGTGACATACCTGAGTCGGCGGTAGTGGATGTGTTGGTCTCCTTGGTGATTGGGGCATCCGTATACCCGAGCTTGTGATGGGCTGTTCGGTAGAAAAGGCCTCCATTGTTGTGGCCTCAACTGAAACATTTGGAGATGTGATCATGTCAGTGGAGTGGCGATTGTCTTTCATTGCAGTACAGTATATTACAGTAGTCTTATTATTCTGATAAAGAGTCCCCATCAGCATATTAGAGATTTAGTTTTTAAGTAAGCACACCGGCGAGAGGACCACAAAACAGGCAAAGGAGGACGTTTTTTTGCCACCCTGGCCTTCAGACAGACAACAACATTACACGTCTTCAAGTCATGCTGTAGCATTCGATAACAAATTAGATGACGGGACAGGTTGTGAGTACACTGGGCGAGTCCAAGGTGGAGTTAGACGTGTGCATTAATAAGATTTCCTGGATCTTACAGCTGGCCGTCTGGGAATCTGCTGGCCTCTGGGTGGAGTCTGACGCCCCCAAACTCTCCTCTGTCTCGGTCCCTGGGTCAGTTGCGTCAGCTCGCTGGGAAGAGAAAGGAAACAAAAAAATTAAAGTAGTATAAGAAGAAAACTCCATAAGCAAACAGAAGTTCCAACAATGTTACATTTTGAACTTGTAAGGTAACGACATGATAGAAACGGACAGAAAATGGTTGGAAAACAAAAGCACGATATAGATGGTCACACAGATCACCTCATGAACACATAATCCGAAAACGAAACTTTATTTTCCACTTCAACAATGTAGGCTCTGAAACAGTAGAATTATGGGACCCTTTAAAAAAGGGACAAGAATGTTAAAAAATAAAACTGGTTGGGGAACTCGAAAATAAATGTCAAAGTTGATTTAAAAGGAAAAAAATGACAACCTGTTTTGTTGTTTTTTTCTTAGGGCGTCGAAAGGTCGAAGTAACTTCTGCAGTATTACTCGCTTTTTTGTTACATTTGGGAAATGGATCGACTTGTTTACAGTTTTTGAACCAAAATAGCATTTAGCAACTAAAGTACGGTACATAACCAACAGTCACCCGATAGACTAGCTATGTTCAAACTTTTTTTTTCCTGTCAGAGGAGACCCTCCTCTTTTCTGTTCGAAGCAACCCCTATGTACTTTCACTTTAAACAAAAGCACGCGAGACACGCGTGGTGATGCGAGATGCACCTACCTATCTTAGTGCAACTGTTTACGAAGTCATCCTAACTTAGTGCCTGCTTCAGTCATTTAGAGCCAGCTGGCAAGAGTTTTTTTCCAGCAAAGGTTGTTAATAGTCAAGATTTTATGACATAACAACCACAAAAAAAAAAAAAAAAAAAAAAAAAAAACAACACAATGGGTAGGAGTTTAAAGATGAGGCTAATCTCACTGGAGTAGATTACAGGTGACAGCAGAATGGCGCTGTGGAGACATTGACTCATCCCAGATGCTGGACGTGCAACTCAGACCCAAGAAAATGTAAACTAGTGAATTAAGGACACTGAGACAGCACCTTATGACATAGACGTAAGATTCGGCTAGGATAATAGTGGAAAAATTGAGTTGAGCTGGAAAAAGCAGAGGGTTAACGTGTCTACTGGAAAAGACAAGTGGTGGGTGAGTGTACAAATGAAGACTGTCACTGCGGGTACTTGATAGGTGTGCTCATCAAACCTCTGTGTCATCTCCTTCGTAGGCTTCATTGCCTTCTCCACTCCCGTCGTTACTCTCCTCTCCGTCTTCTATGCCACCATCATCTTCCTCCTCCTCTTCCTCCACCTCCTCATCTCCCTCCTCATCGCCCTCATCGTAGTCCTACAGAAGATAAAACGTCAACCGGGTCATGGACACACCCTGGATTGATCTCAAATCAATTCATGTACTGGTGGAACAGTATTCAATCGCTATCAGTTCAAAAATGCTAGAAGTTGGTCTACTTTGTGCAACATAGATGAGAATCAGTTGTTAGAAACAGTAGTTGTAACAACTAAATTCCAAGTTAAAGGATTGTAAGGGTTATTTTTTCCCCCAACAGCCTAATTCTTCAATTGCTCTTAGTGTACAATTGGACAATTCTTAGTGTTTAAATGCACAGCCAAATATATTTTAAAATATATTTTGACTAATAATTATGAATTCACAAGAATAATGAACACTTCATTAAAAAAAATAATTGAGAAAAAAAGTTAGCTGTTAACATTTTTTATGTTACTTAACAAATCCATTTAACCATCCATTTTCTTCCACTTATTGTACTGTATTGTACTTATTTGGGGACAGGAATGATGAAGCCAACATAAGCAAAGACGCAATAAAGCATCAGCTGCATGCAGAAATTCTGTCGAACGAGGTCGTCCAACCCTTAGTGGAAACAAATTTAAAAAGTATGTCATGAGAAACTTCTAGATTAATGCGAGAAATATCACAGGACTCTTGATATTGTCAATACACAGTGGGCCGCCCTAAACAAGAGAGGAGACCATTTTTGTTGCACCAATAAATTTCATCAGTTTTTGTGTCTGAGGGGAAAAAAACCCAGTTCATGTTTGGAAATATTGCAATACTTGAATTTGGAACATGGTGTGTGGCGTTCTCAATTTATTGACTATGTATGGAAATGAAAGGTATAAGATTTTGACGTTCACTAATTCTTTGCAGCAATTATTCGAAACAACCATTATGTTTATGGACTGTGAAACATACAAACACAAAAACCCCACACAAATAGGCCAGAACTGAGATTCAATGCCAGGAAGCAAACCACTGATCTCACTGTGCTGTCTGAACAAAACATTTCTTAATTATTATTTTGTTTTATAACTTTACCTGCTCATCCTCCTCTTCATCCCCATCTTCTGGGTTTTCCTCACTCTCCGTATCAGTGACTATGACGATCACTTCTAGCTGCTGCTCAGGAGTTTCACTCTGTGAAAGAGCGACTTCTTGATGCATGGTGGTAGATTGAGAGGCTGCACTCTCATCTTCATCCAGTGCCGCAAGCTCTTCAGTCTAAAAGGCCAAACATTCAATGATGTTTACAACATTAAAAAAAAAAAAAAAAAAAAAAACTATGATGGTCAAAAGTGGATCTGCCCTTTACTGATTTTCATTCTCTGTGTTGTAAGTTGCCATACCTGACTGGCTTCTACACCTTCCTGACTGTCTGTCGGCACCACCCCCTCAGCCTCAGCACTGTCATCAGCCATCAATTCCTCCTGACAGAACCACATGAAGCCAGTGACTTCTAGACAATCCTAAATAAAGCATCAACAAAGATGTGCAAGCTATGTAACCACCTCTGGACCCACTCTTTGGATAATGCGCAGCTTTTTTGGAATAGGAGCCCTGGAGGTGTCCTCTTGAGGGGCCTCATTATCTGTGACCATAGTGCTGCTACTCTCATCTTCTTCACGAGGCCTTTTGGACAATGAGGAAGAAGACCCTGGTGTTGCTGAAACTAGACAAAGCATGGCACACACACAGGTCTTGTCAGAAAAAAGAAACATCATACACAAGAATTACCACACTATGCCGGAGTACTTTAAGCAATGCACATTGTACTTTTCCACTCATATACTTGTCGAAGATTTAATTTCTTCTCACCAGTTCCAAATACAGCAGAGGTGGAGGATGTTGAAGGCCATTCCACCTGCGAGCTCTGCGTTGCCTCAATTATCACAGGTGGCATCTCCTGATTGACTGGCTCTGCATGGGTAACGCTCTGCTGTTGAGTTGGCTGAACAAAGGCTGTGGCCTGTGTTTGGGCTTGCTGGACAGTCAGCATGGGGCCGGCTAACGTAGTCTGGATGTTGGGACTTGCCGAGCGCACAGAACCACTGGCACTCCCATACACAGTCACATGCTCCACTGGCGGACCCTCTGTAGTCTGCATGGCTGCAGAGCAAGTTAGGTCTTAGGTCAAATGAATTCAATGAATAGCACATTCACAGTTGACATTCCTCAGACTTCAGACTCAACTAGATAAGAGCTAAATAACTGACATATTGGATATCATTGGAGTGGCTCCAAACATTATTTGAGAATGGTCAATCTTTTTACATGCCATTATTAAGACTTACTTTCCTGGGTCTCGACCTGTGTTGTGGGCATGACAGTAGCGGTGGGGGTTGGAGTGGGCACAGGGGCCGGTGTGATCATGGGCCTGATGCTGGCCCTTGGAGTGGGTTTGTTCCCAGGGTTGACGGCTTGCTTGCTGGCTGTGGCGACGACAGGTGTTGGCTTTATGTTGGCAGTTGGTGGCTCAGAGCTACTGGCGCTGAGAGAAAAGACGGACAACGATGTCAGTTCACACCTGTATGACCCTGTTGGGCTGGACCGGATAATTGTTTCACATCATACCTGCCCCTATCTGCAGCTGGGGTAGACTTAAGAGTGATCTGTCTCTGTTCTGTGCTTCTCTGCTGCTCCTGAGGCTAGAACCATAACAGACACAGGGTCATTGTCTTATTTGATTCCTTATTCATCAGAACAGATATTTTTAACCGAAAAACTTGGAGCAGAGACTCACCTTGCTTGGACCTGCCTCAGCAGGCTCATCTCTTTGCTCTTGTCTCTCTTGCTGACCTCGCAGTTCTCTCAGTTCTCTCTCCTGTCGATTAAACCGTCCCTCGTACTGAGACTTTATTGCACTTACACGCACCTCTAACTCCTCATTTAGCTGCTTTTGCTCCTCAAATCGCTGCTTGAGCTCCTCCTTTTCTTTCTGCAGCTCGTCTTTGGCGCCTAGACATGAAGTGCATATTTAAGATTCAAATTAACACAAAGAAAAACAAAATGCTGCAACTGGAGACAGTAATGGGGAGAACAAAAGATTGTAAAAAGACTCATGCATTTGTTGTGCTTTGACTATTCAATTTAGTTGTGCAGTTTCTTATTGATGATTCAATGCCTTTGACTAGTTTTAAAACGTATTTTAGTTAAGCACACTAATATTCATGCAAAAAAAAATACTACTACTTTTTAAGCACTTTGAGAAATGTACAAACATGAAAACTGCATTATCAAGTAATTATCATCATCTTGCTCATGATTGTAGGTAATGGGGAAATGCCCTGTCTGTTACCTGTGAGCTGGCTGATCCTTTGCTTGGCAAAAACTATAGCCTTCCTGGTCTTTTCCACCTTGTCTGCCATCTGCTGTTTCAGTGTGTCCTCTTTCTCCTGCAACGCTTGCTTTAGCCTGGCCAGCTCTGTCTGCAGCCTGGATGACTGTTCCTGAGCATTGTGCACCTCAATTTCACGCTCTGCAACCACCTTTACGAAGGGAAAATGACTGAATGAGTTACGGCCATAGACTGTTAGAACATATTAGCTGGCTCACCTTGTTAATATTCTCCAGCTGTCCCTCCAAGTCTGTAATCTTTGTGTCAGCTTGGCTCAGAGAGTCTCTAAGCCCCTGCAGTTCCTGAATTGATGCTTGCCGAGCCTCTTCTTCTTTTGATGGGCCTGCAGCCTCAGCTACAATCTAGAAGGTGTACAATAAAAGATCTAATCCTGGTATAATCAATAGGAGAGAGTAAACAATGTTGGGGTCACTTACCTTGTCATGTTGTACTTTAAGATCATCATACTGAGTCTTGTAGCGTCGTCCAAGCTTTTTGACCTGGCTAATCGTCTCTACCTTCTCCTGAATTTCAAGTCTCTTTGCGACGACCTCTTCTTTGAGCAGGTTTCTTTCATCTGTTATCTTACTCAAATTATCAAGCAAGTTTTGAATTTGGCTTTGCTGGGATGTTGTAAGATTGCTGGTCCTAAAGACAGATGTTCATTAAAAAAAAAAAAAAAAAAAAAAAAAAA